CCGTTAGGTCTCAATGTGCAGCCATCCTCACTCAAAGCGTCTATGTGTTTGGCGCTATCCAACATCACTCAACTCGTAAGGTCTCAGGCTGTAGCTATCCCCACGCAGCGCGTCTATGTGTCTGGCAAACTCAAAAAACAATCCATCTGTGAGCTTTCAGTATGCAGCTATCCTCTCTCAACACGNTGTGTCCGGCAAAAACCAATGCATCTGTGAGGTTTCAGTATGCAGCTATCCTGACTCAACACGTCTAGGTGTCTCGCAATCTCCAATACAAATAACCTGTGAGGTTCAATATGTGTCTATCCTCATTCAACGCGTCTATGTGTCCGGCACTATCCAACATCACTCAACCCGTGGGGTTCCAGCAGCTATCCCCACTCAATCCGTCTATGTGTCTGGCAATCTCAAACCTCCCCTTCCGTGGGGTTTCAGTATACAGCTATAATCACTGAACACGTCTATGTGTCCGGCGATCTCCTACATCACCCAACCTGTGAGGTTTCCGTAAGCAATCCTCACTCCACGCATCCATGCGTCACGCGTCTTTGGTAGCGCATACCATGGGGGCTATATTTGGGGTGGCTTGTTTTACAGCGCTTTGCCAATAGCGCCAACCCACTTAAGTCTGGATTGAGGGGGGGTGGGGGGGGGCGTGAGGGGGTGGTTAATTCCACCGAGAGGATCGGATTGCATGAATAGTACACCGAGACTCGTCCGTGTTGCTTCCCGGGCAAAGCAAGTGCCCAATTTTGTGTGTGCAATGGTCTCTCTGTCAGTCGTGTCTTGCTATTATGCCTGAATGCGTTGCGCAACGTCGTACCCTCCCCCCGCTCCTCCTCGTTCGTCATGTGTGCACACAGACGGCGCCGGCTGACTGGCGCCAGCAGTCTACGGAAACGTTTGTCGCGTCCATGGACAGCATGGGGTATGACAAGGCGCTGCATCACTTGGAAGGCACCGGCTCAAAGTTTGCGAAGGAGACGCGTGTTCGCTTGCGAGAGTTGGAAGCCAAGGTCAGCACAGCGGTCTCGTTAGAGCGAGCCCTCGAGCAAGCGCAAAGGCAACGTAGAATCAAGGAGGGTAGCCGCACGTTTCAAACGATCCTCACCGCTGCTGCCTTTCCCGTGGACGACGTAGACGGGGCTCCGTCGGTGTCAGCAAGACGTAGGGCAGCGGCGCTGGGGGTTCGCGAGCAAGCCTTCAACTTTGCGGCGGAGCGTGCCAAGAAATTGCTGTCCGATCTCCAACCAACCGAGGCGATAAAGCGCGGTGTCTACTGGTTGTGGCCCCGAGCTAAGCAAAGCAATGCCACACCAGCGAAGAGCTGCTGGAGTTGATGAGACCGTACTGGCACACGGACTAGGTGTCACGCCAGCATGGCAACTCAGATGAGCGCGACATGTGGAAGGAGAGCAAGTCTCCGACAACTCACCGCCACCCTCGGCAGCAGCTCACCGAGCCGGGTGGGGGGCGAGGCGGTGTACGCCAAGATCCTCAGCTGGGCGTCCTACAAGGGCTTCAAGGAGCGACAGAGCGACAACTTCACGGACCCTGACCGTACGCTCTTCCTCTCGACGCATTGCAAGTGCCTGGTCCTCCCTGCAATGGAGCAGTGCGCGTGCAAGATCCACTCGCAGCAGGTGCTATACATCGAGGCACTAGCCAATGTCGACATGCCCAGCCACGGGGAATGCGATTGTCGATGGTGCAACGTAGATGGCGGCCGCAGGTGGCGGGAGACGTGGAAGCATATGGGCACTTTCTCCGATGCAATTGCCTGCCCCAAGGTCAACTTGCGGGCAGCGGACCTGGAGGGTGACAGTTGGATGGGGCGGAAACCGGAGTGCAACGCTTTGGACTGCGCTATGTGTGGGTTGGGGGGGACTGACGGCATTCCCATCTGCAGCAAGCTGGAGACCTCCGAGCAGACGGTGGTGTGGAAGATGTTCGAGGACGTGATAACTGTGCCTGCATCAGCGGATGGGAAGATAAAGGCCAAGAAGCTCGCCAACCACACCGTGCCGAAGGAGGGCAAGCTTTGCGATCTTTGGTTGGCTTTCAAAGAACACACCAAGCTGTACATGGCTCACCACTCTATCGCTAAGTGGCAAAGGCACTGCCACGGGCGTTGCTTGGAGACGTTTCATGACGGTGACCTTGTCATCGAGACCGACTTTGCCGAGAAGTATACCCACCAATCTTACATCAGCATGATGATGCCTGTTTACCCGCAGACAACGCTCATGGCGGCCATCGTCCACTTCAACCTGCAGACACACGTGGGGGGTGGCAGGGTGCACGTGACGGAAACATGGATCTCTGCATCTGAGGACATGGCACATGACTGCGATTTCCACCTCCACCGCTTGGCCAGGATGGTGGACCACTACCTGCGTGGAGATGGGAGCGAAGCAACAGCTGCCGCCCGGAAAGAAGGCAGGACGCCTCGGATCCACATCTTTACCGATGGGTGCGGGAAGCAGTAAAAGGGAAGGCGGAATTTCCGCTTTTTGGCCGACAGCGTCCGGAAAATTGGCTTCTTCATTGACCACCACTTCGCGGCCACACCTAACTTCAAAGGTTGCCATGGTGGGATCGGCGGAGTCGCAAAGAACGCCATGAAGAGGAGGGAGAGANCCACATCTTTACCGATGGGTGCGGGAAGCAGTAAAAGGGAAGGCGGAATTTCCGCTTTTTGGCCGACAGCGTCCGGAAAATTGGCTTCTTCATTGACCACCACTTCGCGGCCACACCTAACTTCAAAGGTTGCCATGGTGGGATCGGCGGAGTCGCAAAGAACGCCATGAAGAGGAGGGAGAGATTTG